GGTTAATAATTTTGGGACGCCCTGTATGGTATTTTGGGCGAAACGAACCTGTTTCACCCAATCTGTTATAAATATTTTGAAATATCTTGTGGTTTGGCTGCCTTCGGTTTGGGTATAATTCTCGATATTTTCTAGACGCTGAATGTCCAGAAAAATTTTCTCTTGTGTAACAGCAAATCATATCTCTCATTTCTTCATTTGAATAGAGATTATATCTCGGCATTTTCACTAATGAATCAAATTGACTCGAATCATTCGATAACAAAAACAACAAACATATTGTTTCAGAAACATCAGATTTTAAGCTATTGCATAGCTTTTATCGCCGGCTTTGAGCGGCGACCGAATCAAGAAATGTGTGTGTGAAACATCGTACCGAAAATAAACCTAACACCCCCCACTCCGACCGGCACAGCGGTGCGGCGTTAAAGCCATGGAAGGTTTTATCCGACCCTATTCGTATTGGTATGAAGCGGAGTGAAATATACGTCTGCGGACTGGAACATTTATGCAATACAAGAACTAGAAGAGCTTTCTCTGGCTTCTAATAAATTGGTATCACAAATGTTCCCGGCTGGCGTAAATATTAGATAATAATTTTTAAGCTATTGCATAGCTTTTATCGCGGGCTTTGATCGCGGCGATCGAATCAAGAAATTCTGCGAAAATAAACCATTGTCTACATTGGCTAACGTCGTTTCAGTTCGGCAGACTTCGGCACGGTGTTTGTGTGCGTGCGACTAGACGTATACGTGTAAACTAGCTGCTAACTGTTCATAACTGATTTTATCTCTTTTAGACACAATGCTAGGTGAGACAGCGTGCTTTTTGGCCGCGTCCACGAGTGAGTTCGAGCCCACTGGAGTTGTACAGTATATTTTTTCTACGGCTCACTAACAAAAATCGAAAAATCGAAAAATGGAAAATCGAAGAATCATAAAATCGAAAAAGAAATTCCGTAACGAAAATAAATCTAACACCCCCCACTCCGACCGGCACAGCGGTGCGGTGTTGAAAGCCGTGCATCGTCTAACGTCGTTTTAGTTCGGCAAACTTCGGCACGGTGTTTATGTGCGTGCTGCTAACTGCCCATAACTGATTCCATCTCTTTTAGACACAATTTCGGAAAAATTTAATTTGAAAATGAATAATGATCCACAAGAATCCACAACAAAATATGGGATCACCATTGACGCGGTATTTTCCAAATATTTAGAGGATATCAAGTCTCAAACATATGTTTCTTATTTCAGTTACCATAAACCTATAGTTTCAATGATAAAAATTCCTGAATAACCTACATGTATTGTAAGATAATAAAAATATTTTAAACAATATTAACTTCTCATTTATTCAATAAAAGAAAGAAAAAGTTTTTCTTATCGATCACCATGCTCAAAAAGTGCAAATCAAAGAAAAAACTTGAATTAATGTCAAAGAAAATAAAATACTGCATAAAGAAAATAAATAATTATAATTGCATAAGTTAATAAAAAATGCTATGCAATAGCTTTACCGCGGCAGTCCCCGAGTGCCACGCGTATTTTATTTACTCAACATTGTGCTGCTGTCAAAATTCCATGACAAACTTGTGCTTTAACAAATTTTAAGTACCTATCCAGTAAATGCTATAATTATCGCAATATTCCTTTTTGGATTTAAATACCAGATTTTTTACCATTATTATTAATATGTTAAATAATACGTTTCGTTAAAATAAACAAATAATTTTGTATTATTGTTTCCTAATTTTTGTTTCATTACAATCTAATATTTTCATAAAATAAATACAAACTACCTCCAAATAAAATTAATTTTAGGAACGACCAACGTTTTAAAACACACTGTATACTATTTTTGGCTTACGTAGAGATATGAGAATACGATATTAATTATAATTTAAACGTTTTTTATGAATTGATCTCAATTAGGGGAATATTACATTTTGTGGTTACCATGGCCCAGCGACCAGGTGGTGAATTACAAACTTTCAAATATCTCGAAAACAGTTAATATTTTAAAGATCAAAGAAGTATAACTTTTTTATACAAAAATGATAAGCCTTTCTAAATTTAATACGTAAATTGTTAATTAATGAGGGACAAAAAAATTTAAGCTGTTTTCTTCTCTTCAATATGGCGTATGTGGTGACATCTACGAGATAACTCAAATCTAATAACAATCTTGTTAACCCCCATAAAAAATAGAACTACCCCAATTTTCAAACCTGTATCTCAAAAATGGCTTCTTTATTAACAAAAATATATTTTTTTCCAACTTTAACAGCCTGTAGATCAGAAAGGAGCAATCTCAGACCCATTGTTGTTAAGTAAAATAGTTTTATTTTTGCCTTCCCAATCTACAGTTACAATTTGACCCATTACTTATGACTCACCCTGTATAACCAAAATATTTTATGATATTGATACTTGTATATTGTTCACTGTATCTAATTTGAATGTCGTGCTATTTTTGTATCAATCTGATTATCTCTAAACAAGTTCATAGTTTAGGATCGATATTTAAGAAACTCATAATTTATCTTAAAACTAAAAAAAAGATGGAGTAAAATGATTCTACCATGATATGATAGAGATCTTATTTTAAATAGCATAGTATCTGTAGTTGTTCTTCCATATTTAAAGCTATATTGCTTGGCATAAAAAAATGTTGAAAGTTTTCAAACAAAGTCACAATTTGTAAGAAATTCAAGTACAGTAATATAATTTATTATGAATTCTATAATCCGAAAGTTCTGATAAACCGAACGGAATCTGCAAATTTTCTGTTTGGATTACATTACTGTATTTTAGAAAACATGATAAAATATGTATTTGAGGGACGTTTTCAGTTTCTGAGTCACTTCCTTTTTTTGCAGCATGATAGAAATTTTGATGTTTTAATATACAAGTTGATCCAATTTTGAGAAATATAGTATATTACATTACGAGTGTGGAAAATCACTTTTCACACAAGTAATGTACAATATTTTTCCTACGACCCCAAAATAATTTCATCAAAAAATGTAAAACCAGGTTGTTATTATTATAATAATTAAAATGTATTTAAAAAAATAATCAACAATAATTGTATTTATTCAATTTTCATATTTTCTAAACAAATAAAAAAAAATTCTGGCACAGCCAGTGTTGTTCCTAGGGATTTTTGAATTGTACAACTTTCAGTGTCAAAATTGTACACTTTTACTTTCGATTGTACAACCACTAATTAATCTTCTTCTTTTTTATTGACAGACTATGGCCTACTATTTTCCCATGCTTAAAATTCTTCTTTTTTCCAGTTTAAAATATATTTTTGATGTAGAACGGTGTACTGATTGGTCGCGAATGGCGCCAAATTTAAACTTTTATTTTTTTATTAATTTTAGTGCATGCTATTAAACAAATCGTAGACTTTTTGAGCGAAGAAAACCTTTTATATACCCGATTTTACATAAATATTTAGCAATTTCAAATTGTACAATATTTCTGTCTTTTTTCAAAAGTGCGTACAACAGTACAACCACATAACTGATTGTACAACTTTTTGTACAATTATACAACCAGGAACAACACTGGGCACAGCCAGGATTTGAACGCGGTCGCTCGACGTTCTCAAATTGCAAAGTTGATGCTCTAACCAACTGAGCTAACAGCCCTTACGGTAATTGATTGATCTAATCACTAATGTGTTTAACTATATGTGTTTAACTAGAATAAAAAGCAAATATATCTTAGTTATTTTAAAATTATTTTAACAATAATTGTTAAAGATAAATATCTAGGATCTAATTTACAACAATTTCAATAATTTAACAATCATATCGATTTTAGTATTAATATGTAGATCAAAATAGAAATTATGTGTTTGACATTTTCTGACAGCTACTGCGGAAAGTAGCATATTCGTACATGGGTGGAAAGTAAATTCTTATTCATACGCGTGTGGTATAGGGCACTTTCCATAGGACTATATACTGTGATATGTGTCACTTTCCTAAGTGGTCATAGGAAAAATAATTTACTTGCATTGCTAAATTTAACAGGTTTCTGCATAAGTTTGATATGAATGGGAAGTGAATTGTAACCATTTCGGTCCTAAGTAATTTGAATAATTCTTAAATAACTCACTATTTGGTTTAGGAATTTTAATTGATATATTTGAGACATTTCTTATCATGATTTATTTGCATATTTTAAGTTACAGTTCATTTGATAAAAATTTGACTATCATGATTTCAACTATAATAGAACCTTAAACAATTAAAAGAAGTAAATTATTATTATTAACATAGTGCAGTAGTGCCTAATGACCTCTATCAACAAAACTGGTAGTAGAGTTGAATTGGGCCAATGGCATGTTTCAGTCATGTCATGGCTAGATAATTACAACATAAAAACTAAACTATAGAATTTATTATTTTTCCATAAGAGGTTTAAATGTTGAAAGATGGGCATTTAAATTTTAATCACAGATCATTTTCATTTTTTTTGTCCTTGATTATTACCTTAGGCACATGAAGACTAGATATTTTTAAGGTGTGGAAGATCTATTTGTTTGATAAAACCAAATCCTATCCCTTTTCAATTTAAAAGTAAATAAACAGTAATTTAATCACAATTGCACTTAATTTTAACAAAAATTAGCTAAATATTAAATCAAACATGAGATTTCCATAATTTAGTAATTACGAACCTGTTATAAAAATTATTACACGTGCCCTAGCGACAAGGCCATCAGTTCCTTTGAGTAAATTACATGACCTAGATATAGAAGGTCGAATAGGTGCCGAAAATATTTGTAATAAACAATTAAGATATTTATTAAATATTTACTATAAATCGCGTACCACTTCATTATAAAAAAATAATATTACTAATTCTCAAACAAACAAATTAAAACGGCGCAATATATCGTGATTCATATCGCTATTCTCACAATGTAATCATTATGTGCGTCAAAATATAAGGCCTTATTACAAAAAAGTGCACTTTACATACCTGCCACCTTCTTTGCTGGTATCAATTTTCCTGTGCGTGATATATAGGCTAAACCTGCACTGCGTAGATGTTTCTGTAGTTTTCTTTTGGATTTTGGAATACCTGGTTTCTCGAGACGTTCCAGCAGTGCAGTTGATGGTGTCGCCATATTATTTTTATTGTGAAAATCTCACAACCACACAACACACAGAAAATGAATAATGAATGAATGTAATTCGTCACAGAACAGCGATTCAAATTGGTGTTCCGTGAGTATAGCAATCGAAAATTTAATCATTCGATTTTAAGTATCGAATTCTTATTTAAGTGATACAAATATCGCTGCCTATGGTCTATGGTAGCGCCGTTTTAGTTTTTCTCTATGGTTTTTCTATGGTACATTTTTTACATCTAGAGCGTTTTATTTTTCTATGGTTTATCCACATCGGCCACATCTGTACTACTACATTACGTATATTAGGCATTCCAACAACCTGTCAAACAATAGGTGCCAGTGGGAAATTCTCGTATATCTAAGGGGGTAGCGACATAGTCTTGCATCTTGGGCGCTATTTTTATTCCAAATAGCAGCCGCCAAGCCTGTCAATTTATGAAGAAATGTATAAGCTGGTTTTCTAAATATTATTTTTATTGTGTTTGACATAAAATATTTAAATGTAATCCATTATTCATGATTTTACGTATAGAAGATACCCTTTGGATATACTAAACCTTCCCACTGCCAATTCATTTGTTTGAAATGCCTTAAGATGCATTCGATGTGGATATTCAAACGCAGCATATTAGAATTTGGTGGAAACTGTTCGATAAATATGTAATAATAAAATTTTTTGAAACGAATCGTTTGGTATTCAAGTGTTTTACGTTTCTCTGAATCTCGAACGAATTGCAGCAAATTTTGAAGAAACCAGAAGACCAAAAATTACTAGTTTACAGAATCGAAGACGAAGCGCTATTATTATTTTTTCTTTCAGAACGCAAGCAAATGGTAAGAGTTAATTTATGTACTCTCAAGTTTTAGATATAAGTTGGGGAGTCTCTGAGTCCCATTTTAATCTTTCTTTACATAAATGACAACTCAACATTGAAAGTACTTTCACTCTAAGTGCTAATGACACTACGATTTTATGGCACAGAAATGACACCTATAGAAAGTCACAATACAATAAAATGACAAAATCAGGCATTAATTGGCCTCAATAATGGTCTACTTCCTACGACTAACTATACCTGCATTGTTGTGAACTATCCTTAATTGTTATTTTTTTGTAATGATTGAATTGAAACTTTGAAAACAAATATATGTATTAAAATTTGAAGCTTGATTTTTCATTTTATTAGAAATTTGGCCGCTGAAAAACTTTTGTATAACGAACTCTTATATTGAAAGGTGTTCAATAAACTAGGTCGTTAAATAACTATTACGTTTCTTTATAAATCTACATCTGTATTTTACTGATTAAAATTAATTGTTGGACCAATACTGACAGTAACATATGTTTGTGAAAATCAAAACTTCGAATTATTTAAGGAAAAAATAATTTCAATATTGAAAATAAATCCGGCCCTGTTTAATGACGTAGCATCGTCTGAAAATTCGGCTTACCAATTTTATAACGTTTCAGAACGATTCAGAACTGCGTTAAATTAATTGCGCACTAAATTACACACGAAAGAGTCAATCCTAGAGTGTCCTAGGCATAGATAAATTAATATGTAAGATAAATCGTTTACATGCACGGCACTGGTAACACGTTTAGTTCCTCAGCATACTATTTGGAGCCACCATCGCACATTACACAATAGGCTTGACAGTTAAAGGCAGCACAGAAGAAGAAAATAAAAAGAAGAGTGTCTAGTTTTCCCGCGGTTCATTCAAATGTACTTTATTATTTATTTACATTTTTTCGGAATTCATTACTCAAAAAAAAACTAATATTTAAATTAAAATATTGTATTTAACATAAATATTAGTTTTTTAAAGTACTAAAACTCCAAAAAATATAAATAAAGAAATATTTATACTAAAATACTTGAAACACAGGTATAGTTTAATCATTTAATACAAGTAAAAGGTGCATTTAAACGTTTATTACATACATAACATATACTCGATATTACATAACAATAATTATAAGAGAAATTAATAGTAATTTCCTCTCATTCTTGGAAAATGGACCTATTTTCGATGCAGGTGTTAGGTGTTTTCTCAGGGCGTTTTCTATAAAAACAAAAAAAAAGTGATCAAAATATTGCCAATTCTTATAAGTACAAGTTAATTTTAATTAGTTTATAAACAAAAATTATTTCTCATAGTTCAATAGGTAATTTGAATTTTATTTTAACTGTAAAACAAATCTGTTCTAGTTGAAATTTATAACAAATTAGAGTTTAAAATTTCTTTTCATTTTTGACAGACAACAAAAGGATATCCTTTAAATTATGTAATAATCATTAAGTTCGCAAGCCCTCTCACCAAGGCAAGGTTTCAATCTAAGAGGAGGAAAAAGTGAAACTTATTGACTATTAATTATATTGAAATTTATAAAAATACTAGATAATTTAACAATCAAATTATTTAGTATAGGTTTACTGCAATTTGGAAAATGTAGCTTAATTGATTAATCTCTTTAACAAACAAAATTATTATAAATAAAAAATTAAGAATTTGTTAGTACTTACCAACTTTAGCCAGTAAATGAAGAGCAGCAACTCCGAGGTTTGAAAAAATCTTCTTTCGAGAATTTGCTTTTTGTTTACTGTTGCCCCCATCCCACCACGAGAAGGTAAAGTAGTGGACTAACACATGGAGGATGCTTTTTTATTTCATTTTTTCTGTAAAAAGCATTTACAATTAGTCGTTTACGTTTTATGGCAATTTTGCTAAAAGACTCTGGCAAAAAATGATCTTCACAAAGATAGCGAGTTTTATTATCAAAAGTTAAATTTAAATACTTAAACCAGTTCTCTCGAATTTTAACATCAGAAGGAAAATGAAAAAAAAGGTTTTATTTGAATAACCAGCTTGTTGAATATTAGAATACCTATTTAAACAATTAGAAGCTGAACAAGAATACTTAGTTTCACCTTTCGATGCTTTGCCCGGGTCGGACATGTTTTGATATTGTTGCAAGTTACAAATACATATATTAAAAAAAGAATTGAAAATAGATTCAAAATGAAATTAACTATATTGGCTAAGAAAACAATGATAAACAAAGTCCTTAAACAAATCTAACACCTAATATTGAATTAAATTGTTAATACTTACTAATTACATCAAATCATCACTTATAAATCTTCTTCACCTAAAAATAACTTTCATAAAATAACTTTTATTTACTTATATTGTTGTAATTTGGCCATCATTTCGCCTTCCGCTGCCATTCCGTTTTTCATTTTTACAAGGTTGTCAAACTTCTTTTTAAAATATCCCATCAATAGTATGCAATAGTATGCCATTGTATGGATGGTATCGAGCTTGACAAAAAAACAACATAATATGTTTGAAATAATTCTAATCTCATGAAAGTTTATGGAAACTGGCAACATCGCTTTCATCTTATTGCGATGGTGGCTCCAAGTAGTATGCTGAGGAACTAAACACCTAAAATACTTGTTACCAGTGCCGTGCATTTAAACGATTTATCTTGTTTATTAATTTATCTATGGTCCTAGGACTAGATTTGGAGAAACCCGAACACGTAAATTTAAATGCGCATGATTATAACGATTTTAAACCATCCTCAAAAGTAAGCCGAACAAAGCTAATGCTCATGTTCAGTAGTGCTGCAACGCGGAATATGTTTGTGCCAAAAGTGAATTATGATATTGGCGATATACTGGTTGCATATATATGACCAAAACGCACGGTTACCAAAACCCATTTAAATGAAATAAGCTCATGTATTTAAAGTCTAGTAAAAAATGTAACATTACATACATGTTAACCATGTTATTGATGATAGTTACACCAATAATCCTTTCTCCATGGTTACACCGCGTACTCAATTACAATTTGAAATCTGTCGCCACGATATAGGCAACCAACATTTCATTTAACCTGTCAAAAATGACATTTTATTGTGCTTTAAATTATTTTATAATTAGCAGTTGGCGCACGGTAGCATAAGTGGAAACTTTCTGATTATACAAATTCAATATGTCGTTACCTTCTTAAAAAATTCTGTCTTACACAACGGTCTTACATAAGGTTACATGCCAACATCGATTTCTACAAATCGATTTGAGTTTCTCATTCTTATCTTTCATTTCATAAGTCAAATCTATGATAGGGAACTCCATGACAAATGACAATATAAACAATAATTTTCTCTTTATTTAATATCATAAATATGAGAAGGACGTACGCTAAGACTGAATTCTGTCCCGGACAGTAAATTGAACAAAACATTGTTGGCCAGTTGAATCTTCATCACGCGTACAAGGTGTAAGTTTTTTATTATTTTACAAATCAACTGTGAAACGTCGAAAATAGGGCGAAACATAAACTACAAACGAACAAGGCAATTTCTGTTCTCCCTATTTTGATAGATGACTAATAAGTGAAAATTTATAAACTTTTACTACGAATTTTCTCTAATTATTTATACTTATTTTTAGTTTAAAATGAGCTTTTTCAATAAAATATTCGGAGGGAAAGAAAAAGATGAAGGTCCTACCCCAGGCGAAGCTATCCAGAAGCTTAGAGAAACTGAAGAAATGTTATACAAAAAACAGGAATTTTTAGAAAAGAAAATAGAAGAATACACATTATTAGCTAAGAAAAATGCCTCTAAGAATAAACGAGGTACTGTATTTTTATATTTTACTAATTTTAAACAATTATATTCCTTGAATAAGAGGAATCATATAATTTACATATTTAATATCCCTGTTTACAAGGTGATAGACTTGATTAAATTTAATCTTTATTTAGTCTAATTCACCGACACAAAACTATTTCTTATCTGTATATGACTAAATGTCACCTTATGAAGCATCAAATAATTAAATTCATGATCTCAAGACATACCTCTAAACCCCACAGACAATTTGATCAAAAAACCTCATTACTTTAATCTAATACACCCTCTCATCTTAGACAGGCAAGCAAACTGCATCTCAAAATTGTAATTATGTATGTAAGTATAAATCACCATTTTATTTTGAATTTAAATGTAAAGGCATCGGGTTTTCTTTGGGACTTTGATATCTGCCCTACAAAAATAAATGGGTGCTCATTCTTAAAAAGCCATATTATTGTTTTGTGTGTATTTTTGAGGATAATAACTTTTAATTATGTACTTTTTGACTACATGGAAATATACTTGGGTATTTAAGTTTGACAAGACTTCTAAACCTCACAGTCAATTTCATCAAAATACCTCATTACTTTTATCTATTAGATGTTCTCATCTTACATGTGCATCAAATGACATCTCAAAATTTTCATGTATGTAAGCTCAACAAATCACCATTTCATTTTGGATTTAAATGTAAAGGCATCAGGCTTTTTTAGGCACTTTGATATCTGTGCTACAACAATGAATGGGTGACAGTGCTCATTCTTAAGAGGACATATTGTTTTGTATATATTCTTGAGGATAATGACATTTAATTATGTACTATGACTAATTACCTAGAAATATACTTAGGTATTTAATTCTGTATGGTGTATGCAACATAGTATAGTCTCAAAAAAAATGGGTCAGTACAAATATGTTTAGTTTTGTTACTATGGCTTATGAAGCACTTGAAAACAAAATCCAACTTGATGTAATATTCACAGACTTTAAAAAAGCATTTGACAAGGTAAATCATGATGTCCTGCTTTTAAATTTGGTTTGACAAATAGTACCTTTACACTATTTAAGTGCTACCTAGAAAATAGATATTCAGTTGTTAAGTATAATGGGACACGTCAGGAAAATTTATAGCATATTGTGAGTTTACAAAAAGATATAGACAACATAAATGAATGGGGTTATAAATATAAATTAAAATTTCAATTAAAAAAATTTTGCAGTATGGCAATAAGTAGATTGAAAATCCTGTTATCAATTATCTTATAAATGGAGAAGTCTTAGAACGATGTACAGAGATAAAAGACAAAGGTATAACCTACGATTGGGTTCTATCGTTTTCTAATCATGTAAAAAAATATTGTTTAGGCTGCAAATAGAATGCTGGGGTTCATAAGTATTAGGCAAACTAGAAGTTTAACTAACATATAATCTATAAAAATTCTTTATTATGCTCTAGTTAGACAAAAATTGGAGCTGAGATATGGATGGGGGAACATCCAACTAATTTATATGAGATTGAACAAATACAAAATAAATTTCTTAGATATCTTTATTTTAAAAACTTCATATATTTTCAGACTACAATCTTGTTAGAACTGCAAACTTAAGAAAAGTACTTAAAATACTTTCCCTTCACACCAGAAGGAATATGATAATGTTGACTTTTTTATATAAAATTATTAACTATAAATATAACTTACCTGAGCTACTATACTTAATACGATTTAATGTATCTCCGAGGAGAATGAGACATTCATGTATGTTTACTGTTCCTTTAGTTCTTATCTCTTGTGACCATGCTCTGATTGGCAAATAATATTAATACTTGTATTGATGTAGACTAGCCATTACCGTTTAATATGTTCTGAAAACTTGTATTTGATTATTACATTACTCTTGATTAATTATTACATTACTCTTAATTTATTTTAATACTAAATAAGTTATATTAGTTGTAATTACCTACTGTTTATTATTATTATTATTATTTATGTGTTATGATACTTTTATCCATGTAATAAGACCATTGGCCTGTTTGGATACAAATAAGTAAATGAATGAAATATTTCCATTTATTGGTACTATAATAGCCAACCCTATACATCAAGGGCCAGTATTTTTATTTTGTGCTTCTTCATATGGTTTTTAGGTCACAGAGAATATTTTTTTCTATTAATTTCCATCAATGTTAATTAAAAAAGTTTTTCCCTTTGATTTGATAAACCATCTAATAATGTTTTCGCTTTTTGTTCAAATTTCATTGTTTTATTATTAAAAATACTTGTCATTTGAATTTTATAGTGGCCCTTCAAGCTCTTAAGAAGAAGAAAAGATTGGAAAAGACTCAACTGCAAATCGATGGAACACTTACAACTATTGAAATGCAAAGAGAAGCCCTCGAAGGAGCTAGTACTAACACAGCGGTTTTAGATTCTATGAAAAATGCTGCTGATGCCCTTAAAAAAGCACACAAGAACCTGTAAGTGTCATTATCAAATGATACAGAATTTATTTTAAATTTCACACTATTTTTATAGGGATGTTGATAATGTTCATGATATAATGGATGATATAGCGGAACAACACGACATTGCCAATGAGATCACAAACGCTATTAGTAATCCAGTTGGTTTCTCAGATGATATGGATGAAGATGAATTAGAAAAGGAACTGGAGGAGCTCGAACAAGAAGGTTTAGAAGAAGATTTACTCAAGGTTCCCGGACCTACAGAACTTCCAGCCGTGCCCGCTGGAGCTATTGCTAAGCCGGCAGTTGTTAAACCTGCAGCTAGTAAGTTAAAATTATAATTTGATTAAAAAAAAAATGTATTTATTAAATGTTTTTTTTTTGTTTCAGGAAAAGTCGAGGATGACGATGATATGAAGGAATTAGAAGCATGGGCATCATAAAACTTTCTTAACAGATGTAATCTGAAGAATTTGGATTGTCAGATAAAAAAAATGTTAATGTTGGCTTCTTCTATAGGCTTTATAATTATTTTTCAAAATGGATCTAGGGGTTAACATTAAAATTTGTATGTATTTTGAATACTTGAAACCCCCGTATTTTTTTAATGTTAATTATTAATAATGATTTATGTATATTTTTTTTTTATAAGAATAAACCAGATATCCTGTACATATTTTACATCCGACTACATACAGATAGGAAGAGTTCTTTAAATGTTTTATTGGTGCATTATTGTAGATAGATAACATGTGATAAAGGTTAAATTAATGGAAAATATATTTAAATTATTTAGCTGAATTCCAGCACGTATCATATTTTCTTAATTATCAGCTTTTTATTTTCCTCAAAAGTTCCACTTCCCACTGTTTACTTGTCTTTGATCGTACCATCCTAGTTTTTATCTTATGGTCCAATTTTACCCCTAATACTTTTCTGTGTTGCCTCCAATACATTGTTTTATATACAGCTAGCACAGGTTTTGAATCCTACTGATTGTGACCAACTTTTTTTCTCTTGAGGTTTCCTATTGTATTAAGAACTTGTTCTGTCTTGCATAGAATGTTATTTTCTGAGTTGGTCTACACCAGTCATACTCAACCTTTTTTTTCTTCGGGCCACATTCGTATGTTTGGATTGTTACACGGCCGCAATATTTTTGGATGATTACCCTTTATTTAGGTCATCCATTGAAAATTAGAGAGTGGGTCCCTCTAATAAATAGCCGGGTTACTACAAAAACAAGATAACTTACATTTTTAGAGTTTTGAGAAAACGGTCAAAGATTTAAATTTAAATAAAGAATCAGTAAAAGCTTCAAACTGTTTAATACACAGTAACTCCAATGAAAAAAAAGTATTCAAAACATAATTAGTCTTCACAAAGTATAAACTAAGAATCAATCTAACAGTTGGTAACAAAAAAAAGGCACTTAGTTTATTCTGGCTATCTACATACATACAGGTCATAACATTCAATGTCTGTGTCACTATCTCCAATGGAAGGTTCACGTACCGAGTATTTAACATTATTGGATACAGGTAGATTGTGACAATAATAGTGAATTCATGAGGTGTAGCACCTGATTTGCAAAGTTTTAGTAAATCTTTCTTCTTGGCATTATTAATGTCTTGTATTTTCAGAGCTTTTCACCCTTTCAGGCATCCCTCTCCTTGAGTTTTTCAAGCAATCTGAAAAGCTGGTGTTTTGCTGTTTTTTCGGTTACTTAAGAAGTACATCTGGTCGGTTTAGCGCGCAAACAATATGGAGACGTCAGCGTTCCCGCTAGTTACAGCTTGACCAATCAATAATTGACCACCGCGATTCAGGCATCACGTGTTATCTTCTATTGGTTTTTGAAGGTTGGCTGTATCGTGGAAAGAAAGGGTGACGTAATAACCTTGTCAATTACGGACCAATCGAGACAGCTCTAGGCAAAACAAGACAAATGGCTTGCGCAAAATGTTGAAGTATTTTAACAAATAAATTCAACAAAAATAAGGGTTCTGGCCTTTATCGTGTTTGAGCAGAAATACTATTAGGAATCGGACTAAATAACTAAATACATTTAGCAAAAAAATATATATATATCTCTTATCTGGTTTTGGGTGACACAATATTAGCAACTGAACACAATGTTATGAATATATTTCGTTATAAATGCCACTTACCTTGTTTGTGCATATTGTGAATGTATTAGTATGGAGTTAGTTTTTATTCATCATCCGTTTATTATGAATTGACTTCGTTCACACTTGTCTTGTTTATGTTGTATATTATTTGAACTATTTTGGAGACGAAAGTGTACTTTTTTAAAAGCAGAAATCTATAGTTTTAAAATCACCTTCTTAGTAATAGTGTTTAGGGCCGCAAAAAAATTTTGGAGGGCCGCACGTTGAGTACGGCTGGTCTACACCATAATGTCATCTGCAAAAGCAGTACTTCAATTTCCTTTTTTTTTTCAATTATTTTTCCTTTAATAATAATAATTAGAAAACCAGTTCCCTTTTGGTGGTGTTGATTAGGGCTGAGCGGTTATCAAAATAAATCGATTTCGATAAATTGAAAAAAAATCGATTATTTTTTATTAATCGATTATTCCTTTTTTCAATTAATCGATTATTTTCGCTTAATCAGTTATTTTCAAATAATTTACAATTATTTCTGATTATTCGTTTAATCGCCAAAATTAACAAAAAAAGTCGAAGTTAGTAATGCTTAACGACTGGAAAAGTTTTTATAAACATTATAGAGACCTAGGAAACCAGACCATTTTTTGTACGCAAACATGGCGTCCGGTGGGGTTGGGGTTATGCAAAACAAGCAATTTTTAACATTTTCGGGAGCCTTATTGGATCAGCCCTTTTGGTGTTTTTGATATCTTATTCAAAATCAGTCTTCACAAAAACCACCTGTCCATGCAGCCAAAAACATTTCGGAAATATTTCAAAAATGTTACATTGAAATATTTGTAATGTATAAATATTACGAAACGTCCCAGAAATATTTCTAAAAAGTTACCTCAATTTCTAATGACATTCTGATTTTCATACAACAGCAGAACGCACAAACAAACAAAAAAAAGCAAATGGAAAAACAGACGACAAACGCAAACTTCCAATTAATTTAAAATAAAATTACTACATAACCTATCTTCCTACAAATTGAAAATGTTTCATTAAGTCTTGACCTTTTACAACTTAACCCGCTATTTTGTATTTCTAATTTTTAATGTCATATTTAAAATCAGCGACCACAAAAACTCCTTAGAAACTGCCACTGCCCGGTTTTATTTTTATGCAAAACAATTTTTAATATTTTCTAGCGCCACAATTGATCAACCATTTGCATTTTTAGTGTCATTTTCAGCATAAGCGACCCCAAAACCCCTTCAGTTATGCAAGACGAGCATTTTTTAACATTTTAGGGTTCCATATTGGATCCACCGTTTTTGTATTTTTAATGTTTAATGTCGTATTCCAAATTAGCGACCTTAAAAACTTCAATATACAGACTTGCATCTCATGAAAACGAATATTTGGTATTTTGTTCAAAAAATAGGCGAAACGCCCCTTAGTGGAACGCTGGTTTTGAATCCTACTGACTGCGCCATTTTAATAAAAACATTCGTAAAGTAAAGATTGTGACTGTTTTTTTCTTCTAGAAGTTTCGCATTGTACTAGTTCTGTATTGTATAGAATATGTTATTCGCTGACCTTATGTGTAAAGTTTCTTCGTTGTTGATTTTTCCTAGGTATTGTTCGCAACATTTCTAAATTCTTTTCTGAGCTGGCTAGTTACTTAAATATATACCAACTGTGGGATAGAGAAGACTATTATAATTTGCTGAGATTGAAATCTGGGCTTATTACCAGAAATTAAATTACTGCTAATACCCCGCATCCTTTGAATACTATTGGTAACCATGAAGGATTCGTACCGTTGCCGTTTTTTACTTCAGAACCCCCCCCCCCCTCCATGGAGGGCCTTCGCGTCACTATTTCTGCAATCTTATTGGCGCTGATCGCTATTAACAGTTTGTTAACCCCCCCCCTATAGTTTTCAGAAATCCCTCTCATGAACAATTTCTGGCTACGCTACTGCATTTAGGTAATTTATGTAAAACGTTCTTGGGATATCTGGTTTATCAATTAAAACGCATATCTCAAAAAACAAGAAACGAAAAAATATTCTTATTTACAATACTTAAATGTTATTATGGAATCTGCATTCGAAACATATTTTTAATTTTTTTTTTTTTTTATAAATATGTACTAATATATTTTTATTATTATGTAATTTAGATATGTACAGTTTAAGAAGCGTAGTTCTTTCAAACTAATAATATTCATGTTTCAGTTTTTTTTACATTAAAATGAGCTTTAAAAATATAGCACTTTTTCATAGTTCAAATAATGTATTTGAAGGTTAAAAAATTGTAAAAAGAGTATGTTATTGGATTTAGTAAATTGTAACCATATGTTTTTAATTTTCTATGATTTATCACTACCGTTTTTTCCTAAATAAAAGATCCAGTTTATGAATTTAAAAAAATTATGAAGTGAAAAATGAACAAGAGGACAATAATTGGAAATTCTACTATTTTTATTTATTGATTTTTAAAAAGAGACGAAAACATAACATTGCAACATTTTTTTTTTTCAATTTCGTTTTTTGGATTTAACAAAGAATACGAAAATTCCAATAACCATAATTTGAAAAGCTCGCTATTTTGCTTATGAGGCAGTGGTTTTATTGGATGGAACACAAATTTGTTATTCAAATAGCTGGCTGCGGACACTCAAAGTTGAAACACAAAACATAACCTTTGACAATAACAACAAATACAATGATACATACAGGGTGTTTCATTAAGATTGCCATATCTCGCGTATTGGGTATAGAAATTTAGCGAAACAAAAATTCATCATTAAAGTGTCCTAAAATTATTTTTAAATACCGAATTTCGCCGCAATTGAAAATTAAATAATGAACATCTAAATTTCTCCAAAAATTTCCATATTAAGGTATTTCTTTGGTAGCATCATTCGAAAAATTTTCTTCTTCTTTTAATAAGAAAGAATGAAGCTATGGAAAATGTAATCATTTAAATCATTGTAACTTCTAAACGAATTATCCGATTTTAGTAAATTTAAGCTTGATTGAAAAAGAAAGGTAAGTTGTTTTATTTGTCGTATCTATTCTTACACGATAGTTCTTAATAAAATTGCCAAAGGACACAATTTGTAACTAACAGTTGTTTGAGTTTACCACGAAAACTTAAATCATATGGTATAACTATGACATCATAATCGAAAAGTAGAGTAAAATTGCAAGAAAAATCGAATTCTCATATTTTTGTTCGTTTCAGTGTTATTGTCACAAGATTAATTTGTAACACTTTAATTGAAGAAGTTATTGTTTATGAGTATACTAATATTACCTAACTTATGCTAGAAAATAAATATATTTTTTTGTCTAGGAACCGAGATATTTGATTGCGACTATTTTCTCCTTGGGGTTGACAAACACCTTATTTGAGCTTGCAAGTCGTTATCTTTAAGACAGGTTAAAGTGGTATTTGTACCTAACGTATGCTAGATAAACAAATATGTTTCTATGTCTAGGAGGGGAGATATTTGATTCATAATAAATAGTCGGAAAATTCGCTTTGGGGTTCACCACACCCTATTTGACCTTGCAAATCGTTCTCTTTTTATACAGGTTAAAGAGGTATTTGTACCTAACTTATGCTAGAAAAAAAATCTGTTTCTATGTCTAGGAGCGGAGATATTTGTTTCATAATAAATAGTCGGAAAATTTGCTTTGGGGTTGACAAACACCCTATTTGACCTTGCAAGTCGTTCTCATTACGACAGGTTAAAGTGGTATTTGTACCTAACTTATGCTAGAAAAAAAAATATGTTTCTATGTCTAGGAGCGGAGGTATTTGATTCATAATATTCAGAACATTCGCTTTGGGGTTGAAAAACACCCTATTTGACCTTGCAAGTCGTTCTCTTTAAGACTGGTTAAAGTGGGATTTGTACCTAACTCATGCTAGAAAAACAAATATGTTTCTATGTCTAGGAGGGGAGATATTTGATTCATAATAAATAGTCGGAAAATTCGCTTTGGGGTTGACAAACACCCTATTTGACCTTGCAAGTCGTTCTCTTTACGACAGGTTAAAGTGGGATTTGTACCTAACTCATGCTAGAAAAACAAATATGTTTCTATGTCTAGGAGGGGAGATATTTGATTCATAATAAATAGTCGGAAAATTCGCTTTGGGGTTGAAAAACACCCTATTTGATCTTGCAAGTCGTTCTCTTTAGGACAGGTTAAAGTGGTATTTGTACCTAACTTATGCTAGAAAAAAAAATATGTTTCTATGTCTAGGAGTGGAGATATTTGAGTCATATTAAATAGTCGGAAAATTCGCTTTGGGGTTGACAAACACCCTATTTGACCTTGCAAGTCGTTCTCTTTAACAGATATTGAAAGTGGTATTTCTATAGTACGAGCAAAAGATATAGTGTGACTTTAAAGCCAGACGGCAACATACAAAAAAAACTAAGGACACTGATACATTAAATATAGTAGAGGAGCATTCAAGAGAACGAGTATACTTATTTTATTTTTACTTCCCTCGATAAAAGGAAAGTATTGTAATCGTGACAATTTAGATTTTCACGTTTTCGGGTCCCTAGATTTACAAAAAACATGTTTTCCGTATTCCGTCGGTCTGTCCGCCGTCTGTCTGTTGGCGCGATAGCTCAAAAATGGCTTGAGAGAAAACAAATTTTGTATGCAGGTAAGGCTTCCTCTTGGCTCAAAACCGGCTATACTTCCGGTCAG